AAAATCAACTTAACAAACGAATTCGAAGTGATAGAGTTGGAGAATATGAAACCCTGATCGGTGAATTTTGTGCACAAAATGGAATAATTCATGAAGTAACTCCACCTTATTCACCTCAATCAAACGGGGTTGTTGAACACAAAAATCGCACATTAAAGGAAATGATGAATGCGATATTGTTAAGTTGTAGACTACCCCAAAACATATGGGGGGAGAGTATTTTAAGCAGTAATTATCTGCTTAACTTAATACCTTGGAAAAAGATGGCGAAGACCCCTTATGAGCTTTGGAAAGGTCGAAAACCATCTTACAAACACCTTCGAGTGTGAGGGTGTCTAGCTAAGGTAGTGGTGCCACCTCCCAAACGTGTGAGAATCGGTCCCAAGACAGTGGACTGTATTTTCATAGGATATGCACATAACAACACTGCCTATCGATTCTTGGTATTCGATTAAAAAATTTTGGATATCCTAAAGAATACGATAATGGAATCGAAAATGCATCATTCTTTGAAAATGTGTTCCCTGCAAAGGCAGACGCTGCACCGAGTTCGGCCAACCGAGAACACGAAATTGTGGACCAAGATTGAATGGAAATGTTTGATTATGAATCGGAACCAGGTCAGGAACCTGAGCTCAGAAGAAGTAAACGAGCACGAATTGAAAAGTCATTTGGAAATGATTATGTTACTTATCTCCTTGAAAACGAGCCTCAAACATATGCTGAGGCGATGAGGTCAGCTGAAGCTCCTCTCTAGAAAAAAGCTGTAAAAAGTGAAATTGATTCTATTCTTCAGAATCACACTTGGGAACTTGTGGATCTCCCACCTGATTCGAAACCTCTTGGATCAAAGTGGATATTCAAGAGAAAATTAAAACCAGACGGTACAATAGACAAATACAAGGCTAAACTTGTAATCAAAGGTTACAGGCAACGAGAAGGCCTAGATTACTTCGACACATATTCTCCCGTCACGAGAATAACATCCATTCAAATTATCCTTGCGATAGCCGCTCTACGGAATCTCGAGGTATATCAAATGAATGTGAAAACGGCCTTTTTAAATGGAGATCTTGATGAAGGGATCTATATGGAACAACCAGAAGGGTTTACGGTTCCATGTAAAGAAAAGAAGGTTTGTAGACTTGTGAAATCACTATACGGACTTAAACAAGCTCCAAAGAAATGGCATGAGAAATTTGATCATACCATGATGGATAGTGGTTTCAGAATAAATGAATGTGATAAGTGTATATACGTAAAGACCATTGAGACAAACTATGTATTAATTTGTCTTTACGTAGACGATATACTTCTCGTTGGGAGTAACGAAAAAATCGTTAAATCTACCAAAGATATGTTAAATTCTAAATTTGACATGAAAGACATGGGTCTCGCCGATGTGATCTTAGGAATTAAGATCAAAAGAACCAAAATTGGTCTAATTTTGAGTTAAACTCATTATGTAGACAAAATTCTCAAAAAATTCAGTAAGGATGATATAGGAATAGCGAGAACTCCACTGGACATAAGTATCCATTTATCCAAGAATCATGGAGATGGTGTATCCCAAAATGAATACGCTAGGATAATTGGAAGCTTGATGTACCTGATGAGCTGTATTACACCTGACATAGCTTATGCTATAAGAAAGTTGAGTACGTATACAAGTAATCCTAGTCGCGAGCATTGGAAAGTCATCGTTCGTGTACTCAGATACTTACGGTACACTTGAGATTATGAGCTGCACTATAGCAGACATTCAGTTGTAGTAGAAGGCTGCTCAGACGCTAATTGGATATTTGACACTCTTAATTCGAGATCAACTAGTGGATACGTGTTTACACTAGCTGGTGTAGCAATCTCTTGGAAATCCTCAAAACTAACAAATTTTATTGCCAAATCCAAAAAAGAATCTGAGTTCATTGCTTTGGACAAAGTTGGAGAAGAGGCTGGATGGATTCGCCACTTCCTTGAGGCCATTCCAAAATGAGACAAGCCTGTCTCTGCCATAGCTCTTTACTGTGATAGTAAATCTTCTATTGACAGAGCAGATAGTATAATGTACAATGGAAAGAGTCGACATATTCACCGTCGACACAATTCCATAAGACAACTGATCACAACTAAGGTTATTACGATAGACCGTGTTGCGTCAAAAGATAACCTAGCGGATCCGCTAACCAAATGGTTAAATCGTGATGCAGTTTACAAACTGACAAGAGGAATAGGGGTTAAGCCTGCTGAGATATAAGTTTTTTAAAGGAAAACTCAACCTAAAAAGATTGGAGATCCTAAAAACTAGGTTCAATGGGACAACCTACCTATAAGACTTATGTGTGTCACTGTAGAGGCTTTTAGTCTCGACCCATTCCTGTCAATGAACGGTGACAGAACAAGAGGAGAGCAAAAAATTGCTTTAATGATCACTAAGTGTAGTATCACTCGAAAACTTAGAGAGATCGCCTATGTGAGAGAGAAGTGGGGCCGCTTCAAAGAGAACTGTTCAGGCTTAGTTCTTTAAAAACTCTTGCAGAACCAGGTCGGGTTCCATGGCCAAAACGGACCAAAATATGAGAACCGAACTAAGAACATAAATTCTGTATCAATATGTATCTCAATTACTAAGAAACTATATAGTTCAAGGACAACAAGTCTACTGGATAGTTGGTAAAAGACTACATATTGTACAAAGGAAAGTTCAAAGGAAAACCTACTTATCCTATACAAAATTTATTTCTTTCATCGAGTCATCGTCCTTTTCTCTTTCATGTGGGGGATTGTTGGTGTGTGAATGTGAAAGAGGAAGAAGAACCGATTAATTTATTTTGACAGTTGAAATTCAAATTGATCGGATAAAGGAAAGTGATTGCAGCACTAAGCAACGTGTGCCAAATAGTGGGGTGGTTGCTACTTTTGTGGCGTTTTAATTTAATCTTCTTCCTTAAATTAAAAATTAACACTCACCATAAATCTGTAACGTGAATAAAAAATTCAGCTGACTACTTTTATACTCTATGTTTTCTTTTGTTCCAATCTCCTCCAAAAACCTTCCAAAAAGCTTTCTTAGTTCGGTTTGTGGTGGATCCCTAATCGATTCATTTTATCCTGGGAAGCAATCGGTGGCGGGCCGAATTTACTTCAAGGAGATCGCGTGCAACGCGAAACTCGAATCTTCTTAATCAGATCTGTTATCTGATTTTGAATTGAAGCATCTCGATTTTCAATATTACATATTTGTTAAAAAATTGCTCGTACATATACCATAAGATCGAGATTCGAGAACATATGGAATCATTATCGAGTGCAAGTGTGCGACGAAACGCCAAATGAAATGAATAAGTTTGTTTTCACGGCAGCAGAAAGTTCTCAGCAAACATCTATTGCCAAACATGCCTTAAATCTAACAATTCTCAGCAATTAATATATATTTCTAAAATTTAATTTAATTTAATTTTATAAATTAAATAAATATATGTAAATCGAACAACAATCAAATTTAATTTAATTTAATTTTATAAATTTAATTTAATATATGTTGGGTTGGGTGGTCAACTCCATCGAGATCGATAGATAAATAGATATAGATAGCATTATTCATTCATTCATGTTAGTCAGTCAGTCAGTCAGTCTACAAAAAACTCATTTCCTCTCCTCGCAAATCACTCAGCAGTCAGTCAATCGAACAAGAAGTGAATCAATGAATGAATGGTGTGTAATTCTTTTTTTCTTTTCTTTTCTTTCTTTCTTTCTTTCCTTCCTTCTTTATATGAATGAATGAATGAATGAAGAAGTGTATTCAAAATTAACAAAGCAATTCTTGAATCAAAGAATTAAAGAAAATTTTAGTGTTGGTGGCAGCCAATGGTTCTTGTTTAATTGATTTCTGCATTTTAACCCATCCTACAATGTTGAGTGTATACATCTAATCTAATCTATTCTAATCGAGGGCAACTTTTCTTCCCTAAAGAGAAATTCCCGGTTAGAATTTCTACAATTCCTCACTCCTTTCCTCCATTCCCTGCTGTTGCCCATTATCAAGATTTCTTTTGTTTCTCATTGTCAATATCATTTCTCCCTTCTGTTGCTGTTGCCCTTTATCAAGATTTTTTCTGTTTCCCATTTTCGAGATCATTTCTTCCTGTTGCCCATTCATTATCAAGATTTCACTACCACCACACACAGGCACGACGACGGCAATCGAGGGCGACACGTAAGAACGGGAATGCAATTAGCAAGATCACTGTCCGTATTTGGAAGAGGGCAAATTCTTGTCCCGAGGGAGACTAGATATGCCTTGCTAGCTGACTACTTGGCTGAAACATATTTACGACCATTATAAATGGGGTTGAGGATGCCTGGAAAATCGTTTGATCTGAAACCGGTTGAAGAGGGACTCTGTAAGACAATCTTGACAATGCCATTATCTCAACAATGGAGTTTGCTTGACTGTCCCAATATTCAGGGCGTGTTCGAAACATCTGCCGCTGATTTTCAACAATGAATTTGTACTCGCATTCTTCCTTCTTTGATACCAGGTTGTTCTTCTTTGATCCGCTTCTCTTTAATTTTGTCAAAGAAAATCTTGACCAGAATGTGAATCTCCCTTACATTTTTGAGTGAATATGAATAGGATTTGACTTGATGGTTTTTAACTTCATTTTTATTTTTCCTACGTATATATAGTTATATTTATTTTAAATCTCTTTTGATGTATTCGTGGGAGCGTTCACGTAAAACCTATATGGAGACTTGAGAGTCAATGAAGAAAGTTCGATTTGGATTTCGATTACAAGAAGGTAAGTTTTTTTTTATATTTGTTTTTATGTCTCCTATGTATGTATACTAATATTGATTTTATATCTCTGTCGATTCATTCGTGGAAGTGTGCATGTAAAACATATGCGGGACTCGGGAGTTAATGGACATCGTTCGATTTAGATTTCAAACACAAGAAGGTAAGTTATTTAATCTTTATTTCCTATGTATGTATACTAATATTGATTTTATATCTTTGTCGATGCATTCGTGGAAGCTTTTATGTAAAACCTATGTGAGGACTGAATATTCCTTGGACATCGTTCAATATGATTTTTAAGTTTCTTACATATATATATTAATATATTTATTTTAAATCTCTTTCGATGCATTAGTGGAAGCGTTTATGTAAAACCTATGTGAGGACTCAATATTCATTGGATATCGTTCAATATGAATTTCACACACAAGAAGGTAGTTATTGGATATTTATATTTCTGTTCCCGACGTATATATACTAATATTTATTCTAAATCTCTTCCGATGCATTCTTGGGAGGCTGTATGTAAAACCTCTGTGCAGACTCGAGAGTCAATGGAGCTCGTTCGATTTATATTTTGAACACAACAAGCTAAGTTATTCAATCTTTACGTTTCTGTTTCCTACTTATATATACCAATATTAATTTTAAATCTCTTTCGATGTAATAGTTGCAGCCTGTATGTAAAACCTACGAGATGACTCAACAGTCAATGGAGATAGTTCGATATGAATTTCGAACATAAGAAGGTGGGTATTCAATATATATACTTTTTAATGTTTCCTACGTATATATACAAATATTAATTTTAAATCTCAATCGATTTATTCACAGGAGCATATATGTAAAACCTCAATGAGGACTCAAGAGTCAATGAAGATCGTTCAATTTAATTTCGAATATAACCTTTATTTTTATGTTTTCAACGTAATATATATTAGTATATTTATTTTAAATCTCTTTCGATGCATTCCTGGGAGCGTGTATGAAAACCTATGTGTCGACTTGGGAGTCAATTGAGATAATTTGATTTTGATTTTGAACAAAATAATGTATGTTATTCAGTCTTTATGTTTTCGTGTCCTACGTATACATACTAATATTTATTTTAAATCTCTTTCGATACATTCGTGGACACTTGTACGTAAAACTTATGTGGAGAATCGGGAGTTAATAAGTTATTTAGTCATTATTTTATATTTTCTACATATATATACTAATATTTATTTTAAATCTCTTTCAACGCATTTGAGGGAGCGTGTATTTAAAACCTATGTGGAGACTCAAGAGTAAATGGAGATCCTTCGATTTGGATTTCGAACATAAAAAGGTACGTTATTCAATCGTTATTTTTATATTTCGTACTACAAAAAAATAGTATATTAGTAACGGAATTCCGTTCCTAAAGTGTGTAGTTAACGCAATTTCTTCTCTAATTTTGTCTCTAATGTCTTTAGTAACAGAAAAATGGGATTTAGAGACAAAAAAACTTTGTTACAAAATTGATATTTTTTTGTAGTGGCGTACATATATATACTAATATTTATTTTAAATCTCTCTCGATAAATAATTGGTAGGGAGTGCGTAAAATCTATATGGAGTTCGGGAGACGATGTAGATCGTTCGAATTACTCAATCTTTACTTTTATGTTTCGTACGTATATATACTAATATTTATATTAAATCTCTTTAGATACATTCGTGGAAGCGTGCATGTAAAACCTATGTGGAGGCTTAAGAGTCAATGAAGATCGTTCAATTTGGATTTTGAACAGAATAAGGTAAATTATTCAATCTTTATTTTTTGTGTCCTACAAATATATACTAATATTTATTTTAAATCTCTTTCGATACATTCGTGGAAGTGTGCATCCAAAACCTACGTGGACACTCGAGAGTCCAAGAAGATCCTTCGATTTGGATTTCGAACATAAAAAGGTAAGTTATTTTACCTTGCTTTTTTTGTTTCCTACGTATATATACTTATATTTATGTTAAATCTCTTATGATACAATCGTGGGAGAGTGCATCTAAAACCTATGTGGAGACTCGAGAGTTAATCGAGAACATTCGGTTTGGATATCGAAGACAAGAAGCATAGCTTCTTTTTTTATGTTTCATACGTATATAGATTAATATATTTATTTTAAATCTCTTTCGATGTATTTGTGGGAGCGTGTGTGTAAAACCTATATAAGGGCTCAATAGTAAATGAAGATCATTCGATACGAATTTCGAACACAAGAAGGTAGTTATTCAATATTTATTTTTATGTTTCCTACGTATATATACTAATATTTATTTTAATCTCTTTCGATACATTCGTGGGAGCACGTACGTGAAACCTCAATGGATATTAAAGAGTCAATGGATGTCGTTAAATTTAGATTTTTAACTCAAAAAGGTAAGCCATTTAATCTTTATTTTTATGTTTCCTACATATGTATATTAATATATTTATTTGTAACCTCTTTCCATGTATTCGTGTGAGTGTGTACGTAAAATCTATGCGAGGACTCCTTATTCATTGGATATTGTTCGATATGAATTTCAAACACAAGAAGGTGGTTATTCGATATTTATATTTCTGTTTCCAACCTACTAATATTTACTCTAAATCTCTTTTGATGCATTCATGGCAGGCTGTATGTAAAACCTCCGTGCACACTCGAGAGTCAATGGAGATCGTTCGATTTAGATTTCTAGCAGAACAAGCTAAGTTATGCAATCTTTATGTTTCTGTTTCCTACATATATATAAAATATTTTATTTTAAATCTCTTTCGACGCATTCGTGGCAGCGTGTATCTATAACCTATGTAGAGACTTGAGTGTCCAAGAAGATCCTTCGATTTGGATTTCGATAATAAAAAGACAAGTTATTTTACCTTGCTTTTTTGTTTCCTACGTATATATACTTATATTTATTTTAAATCTCTTTTGACGCATTTGTGGGATAGTGCATCTAAAACCTATGTGGAGACTCGAGAGTTAATCGAGAACATTCGGTTTGGATATCGATGACAAGAAGGCTAGCTTCTTTTTTTTTTTTTTTATGTTTCTTACGTATATGAATTAATATGTTTATTTTAAATCTCTTTCAATATATTCGTGGGAGCGTGCCTGTAAAACCTATACGAGGACTCAATAGTCAATGGAGATCATTCGATACGAAATTTTGAAAACAAGAAGGTAGTTATTGAATATTTATTTTTATGTTTCCGATGTATATACACAAATATTTATTTTAAATCTCTTTCGATACATTCGTCGGAGCATGTATGTAAAACCTCAATGGAGACTCAAGAGTCAATGGATATCGTTCAATTTAGATTTTGAACTCAAAAAGGTAAATTATTTCATCTTTATTTTTATATTTTCTACGTATATATATTAATATATTTATTTTTAATCTCTTTACCTGTATTCGTGGGAGCGTGTATATAAAACCTATGAGATGACTCAATATTCATTGAATATCGTTCAATATGAATTTCAAACACAAGAAGGTAGTTATTCGATATTTATATTTCTGTTTCCTAGATATATATACAATATTTTATTGTAAATCTTTTTCGATGCATTCGTGGGAGCGTGCATCTAAAACCTATGTGGGAGCATGTACGTAAAACCTTAATGCAGACTCAAGAGTCAATGGATATCGTTATATTTAGATTTTGAACTAAAAATGGTAAGCTATTTAATTTTTATTTTTACGTTTCCTACGTATACATATTAATATATTTATTTTCAATCTCTTTCCATGTATTCGTGGGCGCGTGTATGTAAAACATATGGGAGGACTCAATATTCATTGAATATCGTTCGATATGAATTTCAAACACAAGATGGTAGTTATTCGATATTTATATTTCTGTTTCCGACATATATATACTAATTTTTTTGTAAATATCTTTCGATACATTCGTGGCAGGTTGTATGTAAAACCTCTAGGCAGACTCGAGAATCAATGGAGATGGTTTGATTTAGATTTTGAGCACAACAAGCTAAGTTATTCAATCTTTATGTTTCTGTTTCCTACATATATATACAATATTTTATTTTAAATCTTTTTCGATGCATTCGTGGGAGCGTGCATCTAAAACCTATGTGGAGACTCGAGAGTCAATGAAGATCCTTCGATATGGATTTCGAACATAAAAAGGTAAGTTATTTGACCTTGCTTTTTCTATTTCCTACGTGTATATATACTAATATTTATTCTAAATATCTTTTTAGGCATTCGTGGCAGGCTGTATGTAAAACCTCTGTGCAGACTCGAGAGTCAATGGAGATCGTTAAATATAGATTTTAGGGACAACAAGCTAAGTTATTTAATCTTTATGTTTCTGTTTCCTACATATATCACTACAAAAAAATAGTATATTTGTAATGGAATTCCGTCACTAAAGATCACGTAGCTAACGTAATTCCATCATTAATTCCGTCTCTAATATCATTAGTAACGGAAAAAACTGAATTTAGAGACGAAAAAATCTTGTTACAAAAATGATATTTTCTTGTAGTGTATATACAATATTTTATTTTAAATCTTTTTCGATGCATTCGTGGGAGCGTGCATCTAAAACCTATGTGGAGACTCGAGAGTCAATTAAGATCCTTTGATTTGGTTTTCGAACATAAAAAGGTAAGTTATTTGACCTTGCTTTTTCTATTTCCTACGTATATATAGTAATATTTATTTTAAATCTCTTTTGATGCATTCGTGGGAGCATGCATCTAAAACCTCTGTGCAGACTCGAGAGTCAATGGTGATCATTCGATTTAGATTTTGAGCAAAAAAAGCTAAGTTATTCAATTTTTATGTTTTTGTTTCCTACATATATATACAATATTTTATTTTAAATCTTTTTCGATACATTCGTGGGAGCGTGCATCTAAAACCTATGTGGAGACTCGAGAGTCAATAAAGATCCTTCGATTTGGATTTTGAACATAAAAAGGTATGTTATTTGACCTTGCTTTTTCTATTTCCTACGTATATATACTAATATTTGTTTTAAATCTCTTTTGATGCATTCGTGGGAGCGTGCATCTAAAATAGAGTCAATGAAACATCACGAACAAAATTCATTGAGACAATAAAAGGACAAAGGACAAAGGAATGTCTAATTAACCGGGTATGTAGTTCTTTTTCATTATCTACATTCCATCATGTAGTGGAACATAAATAGATGCATATTTTCGAAATTCTTCTTTTCGAAATAGTGCTGGAAAATTAAAAAAAAAATCAAATAGCAAAACCATTATACATCAAATTAAGTTCACCATAAATTTTTTTTTCTTTTAAGTTTTCTGGCAATAAAAGATAAATAGTCTTATGGAAGAAGTAAAGACATTATTATTTAAAAAGACAATCTCAAACTATATATCCAAAACTCGAACTCAAAGTTGAGAGGATCAACATCTTCTAAGGTTTCAATATATCCATCTCATATGTCAACATTAGGGCCCTCCAAACCCAATTATTTGATTATTTTTTAGTGTTAAAATATTAACATATTTTAATTATTCCCAATCCCCCACCCCCAAATTATCTAAATTTATATGTCATTATGTCATTATTTTATAATTTTATGTTTTAAAAATTTTGCCCTCCGAAATTTGAACGTTAGTTACGCCACTTGTGTCAACCCCATAATTTATATGATCTAAACATAAATGAATTTGGGTAATTCAAAAATTCTTACAAATCGAAACAACCTCATTTACTGAACATGATTTTGCACGTATGTGTTGCTCTATAATATTTAGTTGCATTGAAATTTAAAAAAATTTATACTACCGTTGTTTCATAAGAAGGGCAGTATTTTTCTTTTGTGTCATTGTACTTATCATTAAAAATACTTTTATATTTGTATAATTTAATCCATAAATGTCATTGTATTTGTATTACAAGAGAAGATTAGAGATATTTTGTCATTTTTTTTTTATTTGTATTACTTGTTGATATAATAATTAATATCAAATATCTACAAGCAAAAAATTCATGGTACTCTTCTTATGGGACGGAGGTAGTATAAAAATATATGATTGTAGGAAACATACCATGGTATTTTTTTTTAAAAAAATCCTTCCCTCTATCTGATTAAATGTCTTCGTATTAGCACAATTCTTGTATTATATTGCTTGACTTCGATTTTTTTTCCCTGTGCTAAAAACCAAAAAGATCATATATAGTGTAAAAATATTATTATTAATTATTTCGTTCTTGATGAATTTATTTTAAGTTTACAAAAGTATTGCAAATCTATTTGTAATTTTTTTTTAAATATTTTTTTAATGCATTTGGTAAGTTAAGCTTGATGGCTCCCTTCGTATTAGATTGAGCTTTAAAAAATAAATCTGATGAAATTATCGGCCTAAACAATAATAAAACACAGTAAACTAACCTTACACAGACTAGTCCATTGCAAATTCTGGTTAACACATAGACATACAAATTAAATTTACATTTTTTTAACTTCTAAAATTTTAAGTAACAACATTTGTCTTTTAAAAAAATAATACTCCCTCCGTCTCATTGTAAATGTGGCATTTTCTTTTTGCACGTAAATTTTTAAATATTAATATTATATTGGATTGTAGTAAAAAAGATAAAAATATTCCTATGGTGCAATATAAAAGTAATGACATTTGTGTAATATATTGTAAGTTGAAAGGGTATTTATTATGTTAGGTAGGTAGTACAATTACTAAATTAGAAAATAGTAACCTTGTTTTGGGACGGACAAAAATAAAAAATAAGGTAACCTTTCAATGGGACGGAGGGAGTATAAATATTGTAATAATATATATAACTCAAATATAAATCAAAATTAAAATGACGTATCAAAATCAATATGCTAGTGATTTTTCTTGTCAACACTATATTAAAACAATATATCGAATATTTTAATTTGTCCCTACATTTTTTGTTTCTTATTTGTAATATAAATTAAACAACACGTTTGTAAAATATGAATCCTTGCCTATTAAGATTGAGTTTGGCTTATTAATTACTATAACAAGTAATGTTTAAAAAGAAAAGTCGTACTAGTGTGTTCGTTTGAAGAAATTTGAGTTTTTTTAAAAACCTTATTTTTTATATTATAATAAAAAAATAATTTTACATTCAAAATTATTACTTCAATATTTATTTATATCGCATTAACAACTATTGAAAATCTAAATCCTCTAACAAACACACAATGTTTATATATTTGTTAATTCTCTTTTAGTCGAGTAGGCTCGGTTCCATAAAATTCAACAATATAATTATATACTACTTAATATGCATTAGTTAAATTTCAAAATTAAGTTTAAACCAAAATAAAATGTCAGGAAAGTAATTACAATTTGAGACAACATTTAATAAGTCAGATTGCTGTTTTTTGGGATTTTGATTTTGATTTGTGAAGTAGTAAAATTGTTTGAAGCCATTCCCCACTTTTCTTTTTGGGATTTTGACTTATCTTGAGTGGAAAAGAAGTGCTTTTAAGAATACATACCATTTTTCGATCCTATTGCAACATAAACACGTCGAATGAAAGCATTTTTATCCTAGACTAGTTGTGTATATATATATATATAAATATATTTTTAATAACGTAAAAAAATCAATAAAGGACACCGATTGCAAGGAGCATAATTAATTATGACTAGCAGCCAGACACATTATTGACAAATTTGAATCAATACACTTAATAAGACTCTTTGCAATCACAAGACCATGTTGGGTGTATTAATAATCCGTAATTTGTACTTATCGTTGGAAGTTAAGAATTTTTCCAAACAATATGTGTGTTTTATTATAGATCAATGATAAAAAAAAAACTTCATATTCTATAGGAGTTCCATTTAACATC